AAAAGGTTCCCATAGGAGATGGAACTGGGCCTTCTAGGTGAAACCTGGCTTAAGGGGACTGGCATACTGTTGCAGCATCAAATTTTCATTATCCTACATCATCATGTTAAGGGGATGCAATTCCACTACTCTTTACAACCCGGTCCCTTTTTTTTTGTTTGGTTAATACAATCATAATATATTGTTTAAATAGCAACAAGGTGAAGATTTTTAACAAGAACTCCCTCTGTCTGGGCCAGCCTGAAAGCAAGATATTTAATGATCTAATCTTGCCACGTTAAGTGAGTTAGTAAAAGGCAGTTCCTTTTTACCCCACGACACTGTGCGCACTTGAAGACCAGAAGACAGTTGACTTACGTTGCCTGAAAGACCGCTGTTGCTACCATGCAGATGAGCATGATATAAAAGATTGGGTAGTCAAGTTGGAGGCTTCCTTGTATCGACACAAAAATCATGCCTGCAACTGCCTTCACAGTCACAACAGTCATGGAACCTGTGAATAATGGAGAAGGCTCAGCTGCAACATTGCAGCCTGCAGCGGTGGAGGGCCAGCTATGCAAAACGCATCAGGAGGCAGCAAACAAAGAAAAAAGGTGGTAAGAGCTCAAGTCTTCCTTTGGCCGAAGACAGAACCAGGCCCAGCAAGTCCTGGGCTCCCCTTGCTAGAACCCAGGAACTGAAGGGCTGTCTTGGCTCACTGAATCCCAGCCCCTGCTAATGCAGGCAATGACATCATACAATCCCATTCACAAACTAATAATACTCCAGCTTCTCGTGCTGGGACTGTGGGTAAATTGCTTCAGTGCTCTGGAACTCAGTTTTCCCCATCTGCAAAATGGGGGTATTTACTAATTATCTGTAATTAGTATATTTGAACAGCACTTTAAGATCAAGCCAATAGGCATTACTTCCAGGTAACAAAACTGTGAACATCTCTTACCCATCCCAAAGATTGGAACTGAGAAAATCCTGCTCCCCTCTCTGCTCTTGGAGCCCAAGTCAAGGACATTTAGAGGTCAGGGAGTCTCACTCCCACCCTGGGAGACCCCTGCTTACAGCAACAGTCTCCTGCAGCTCAGTAAAACACCAGACTGAAGGCTGCTACATAAAAAGCAACACTGGAGTACAGTGGCGTGAAGTTTTCAAAGCTCAGCACAACAGATCCCATTAGGCACCAGAAGGGCATGTCTGCAGCACACTATGCAGCACTATGGAGAGACAAGCTATCGCAGGGACTGGAAGAAGTGCAGCAGGACACTGAAGAAGCATGGCACTTGGCTGTGGCAGGGCACTATGCTAATGGGGTACATGAACTAATGCACTTGGAGCTGGCTCGGTATATTTACACCACACTACTCTGCACCTGGTAAACACACACCCTGGTGTCAGCTTTCACTTTGAACTCTTCAGCACATCAGTGTGCGTCTCCGCCTTCTCGTTATTTAACTAATTAAATAACTGTTTACTATTAAAGTGTTTAATTAATCTGTTTACTATTTAAGTAAACAGATTAACCAAAAAGATGACATTGGGTGAAACCATAGCCCCATGGAAGACAGAAACAAGGTTGCACTGAAGTCAATGGGAATACCGAAACAGAGACCTGTTGAACCTGTATTGTGCTTTTGGCTTCTCTGGGCTGGAGACAGCTGCTGTGAGTGTTTACCTACTTCCTTTATGGCTCCAGGGGCTAACTGCAGTCACTGTAAAAATCCTCCACCTTTCTCTAGCACCATTCAGCTCTCAATTTTTAATATTTATAATATTAATATTCGCTTTCCAGTATGCCTTTGATGAGCCTTATTTTACAGATGGAGAAAATGGAAGCAAAGGGTGGTCAGCTCCTGTGCCCACAGTCACCCACTGTCAGAGCCAAGCAGATTCCTGGCACCAAATCACATTTTCACCAAACAACGATCCTTCCAGTTCACCTGGAGTTATGAGATGCTTCACAAGTGTTTATGTGCGCGGGGAGTTTAGAGCCTCATACGTCCTCTGTCTGGGCAACTGTATCCTACCCCTGGGCAAAAAGGACCCAGTAGTTGGATAGCCCTTTCCCATCTTTAGCTCCTATGACCCTATCTTGTCCCAGCAAGATACAGACTTCTTCTACTTTTCAGGAACACTTATGGCATTATATTATTGACATGGTTAAAGAGATAAAATGCATTAAATGTACTCCCCCTATCACTCATGATGTAGTTTGCCATGACAGACGTGGTTAGACACATTTATATGCACAAATGAACTTACCCAGCAATGCTACCAGCAGAAGAATAACTACAATGTAATTGGCATTTCTCTCCTTGTAAAAATACAGCAGCAGGCAGAACAGTATGATCTCCACAAGCTACAGAAATGCAGAAAGAAGGACATTAAAAACAGGATGAAGAGGAATCCCTTTTCTTGCAGTGGATGGGGCTTTGGGGTACTTGGAGGTTGGGTACACAGTAGATTATGCTTTTATTTGACGATACAAAACTGCCCAGTGCTCTGAAACTTGACAGACACCGCTAAGGTCTTTTCAAATTGTGGTGCTGTGAACATCCATCAGGGTGTAGGCAGGATCTGGCAAGATTACATATCAAACTCAGCTGCGATCTGAACAAACAAGAGTTAATTGCTTCTCCAGGAACAGCCAAATGACCCTTTCTGGGAGATTTCATTGGTGACCTGAAGTGACAGGCCAGCCAACCCCAACCATACACCCTGGCCCCAGATCTTAATCCATTTTCTCCTAAAGTGCTTTCCAGAAAGCACGTTCCACCATCCGTTGAAGGCAATGGTAACCTTTCAGTTGGTTTTACTTGGAGCTGGATGAAGTTCTGATCTGAGCAGCTATGGGTACAGTATTTGAACATCTAGGGAACATTTACTGCCTAACCTCCTTGTGACTATTGCCATGGGGTGATACTGGAAAGTTTGGAATACTTTGGACGAGGACTGGAGGACGAATGATCAATCTTAGGTATATACTCTACGCTTTAAAATCGTACTCCCATAGACACACACAGAGCAGAGGAACCGTAACATGCTCAAAAATGTAGCCAATGACCCACAAAAAACCATTTTCATATGAAAGCCCCAGCCAGGCATACGTCAGAAAACCCAGCCACATTTTATGGGCCATCTTACCATATACAAAAGAAATGGCCAGCTGACTAAATGTTTAGTGATATTGTCTCCTGTCATTGCCTCATGACTATTAGGTCCGAACGTTATCAGCAGGTAAGTTCCAACGACTGCCAAACCACAGCCTACAAAGGATAAAACATAGCGCCCTTCGGCAAACAAAGGACAAGAGAGAGAAGGCTTTAGTGGGTTAGTACAGATATGTGTGGTATCTATTGCACATGCCGTGACTGTTACCAATGAGACTGTGCTTCCCACTGGAGATGATTCACTCCTCCACCCTCCCTGCCCCATTTTCAACATATTAAAGAAGATAAGCAGTGTGTGGTTAGCTGAGAAACTGCGAGTTAACTTGAGCTCAAGTCTCCTACACAATGAGAAGGCTGCAAGGTCTGACGTCTGGGTCAGATGACCTGACAACGGCTCTCTAACACTACACAGAGTTCACTTTCTACTCCCCAATCCTGCACACACTTGCACATACATGTAGTCCTGCCAAACTCAGTTGCCTGCAGAACTGAGGGCTTGAGCTGTGGCATCAGCCTGGAAAACTACCGTCAGCAGGGAGGCCACCTTAGCTGATTTCTACAATTAGGCAACAAGGAGAGGACCTTACCGGGTCAACTTCAACGGTGACCCTGAGAAACAGAAAATCCATTTGCAACAACAGTAGACGAAACTTTGCAGAGAGAAGTGTCGTTTTAACAACTAATGGATTCTCTTTAATCGCAGGTCTCAACAGTCCAGCCACATGCAGCCCGAGGCAGTGGGAACAAAGCAGCATTCAAAGCAGAAATGAAGACATATAGAAAAACAGAATTCAGACTTACTCAAAAATTCCTTGGGCTTCCATTTCTCTTTAATGAATATAATGCCGATGATTGCACTAGCTAATGAAAAAAGAAAACAGGAGGAGTTCTGTATGGTGTGCTTTGATAAGCAATCTCAACCCGGTGTGTACACAAGCCTGTGTGACAGATGTTTTCTCTTACCTATAACCGACACAGCACTGAGTGGCACAATCAGAGAAAGAGGGGCAAAAGCATAGGAGGAAAACACTCCCAGTTCCCCCAGCAGCAGAAGCAGCAGACCACACCACCAGATCTTGGTCCTGAAGTAGGCCCGGGGATCCTTTGAACCTGCCAGCCGGATGTGGCTATATTTCTGGAAGGGAAAACAAAGCAACAGAAACCTCAGTGTGCTGCCTGGTTTTCAAGCACAGGATGCTCGGGGCAGGGTCAGTATTCCTTTCGTGATACTCACCTGGAGGTTGAGTGCAATACTGATGACAAGGTGTCCAAAAATAGCCAGTAATGCGCCAATCAAGTTTTCCTGTAAAGCAGAGCAAGTATGTAGCTATTCGGTTTGACCACAGGAAACGGCTGGCGGTGGGGCAGGGTGGCACTGGCAGTGGCTACCCCTGACAGAAAGCAGATCTTTAATATCCATTGCTGGTTAGGTTGCCTCTCTCTATGTCTCTTAGTTCTGTTCCCAGATCTGTCGCCCTTCTTACGGGATCTTGGGAAACTCAGGGACAAGGGGGTTAACTGGAAAAAGGCTTACGTTAACACTTGTAGAGTTCTTTGGTCTCCTTAGAAGGGAAGTGGCAGAGCCACGTGCAAGGCTCTTGTCCCCTAAATGTGACACTTGGAAAAGCCATTTCCTCTGGGGACCCTGGCAAGGCGTAAAGTCAGAGCTTGCTGGGGTGCGCGTAGCTTCAGTTCCACGGTTCAGAATCTAACAGACTGGCCGACCACGATCAGGACATCAGCTAAGGAAGGGGCTAATCTCTACTGTCCTATAGGGCAGCCAGCCTGCAGGAGAAGACTTTCCATGTGCCTTTTATGCCAACCATTTATTCAACCCAAAGCAGAGGCTAAGGGATAGGGACCCCTGGAAAACGTCTCCTCCATCCCTGCCCCCCCACAGACAAGCCTTCAGTAAGCAGCAGCTTTAACAATGTCAAGGCAGGATTCACAGTAAATGGAAAAGAGTAAATGGATCACAAAATATATGTACATTAGGCACTCTCAGACGAGCCTGAAGGACCAGACGGCCATTTGGTGTTCTTTTGGTATGTCTAAATCTCATTAGGTGCATCTACACGTTGCCCTACAGCAACATAGCCCTGTGCTACGCTACGGCACATTACGGCGATGTAGCGATCACGTGGGTCTACATGTGATCGTCAGCTCCGTCGCTGTAGCAGCACGCTCCCTGGATATAGCATGCCACTATGGCGATGTAGCGGTGAAAACTAACCGTGCATCACATGCACAGCGCAGTAATTGCCCATACTGCACCATGCTTTAGTACTCCCAAAAGGAAGTACCAAAGCACGGTGCTGTAGCAACGTTGCCGTATGGTGACACATGGACACGCTCATTAGGTATCATTAACACTTCAGATTTCAGTGTAGATGTTCCAGATACAGTGCGGTGTTCAGGTTGTTTTATTTGGGATAGTTCCCTCTCTCCTGTCATTAAAGAAACTGTTTTTCCCGTGCATGATCCATACATGATTAAAGCAACACATTAATATATGCATGACAGAAAGCTCTCTGACAGGCTGATTAGGATGCAAGCAAAGTTTACTGAGCGATGAATCGCATCACGGCAGCTTTACCTGAAGTACCCAGGAGAAATTCCTGCAGCAGACAGCAGGAGAGGGAGGGAAGAACTTTACAACCAGCCACGCAACCCCGGTTTTTGGAGTTCAGCAGGTTCTGCTGGATTATTAACCAAACCTCAAGGTAGCAGGGCAGGCCTGGCCTCTCCTGAACAGTGCCAGAGTTGGGGCTGGCTGCTGAACTGAGTGGGCTGCCAGTATGGAAACATGTCTGTGTTGGCTTTCTCCATAGCACAGCCTTACAGTTTCATAGTTTCTAGGGTCGGAAGGGACCTGAGCAGATCATCGAGTCCGACCCCCTGCCATGGCAGGAAAGAGTACTGGGGTCAAACGACCCCAGCAAGGTGTTATACTGCACCCAGGCCCTTTTTCTCAGGGAAGTGCCTGTTCAGGTGCACACAGTCATTTAGACTGATGTTCAAAGGAGCCCTGGGTTGAGGAGCATGAGAAAAGTCAGTGGGAATTATGCATCGCACCCTATCGGGCCCCTTGCAAAATCCGCAGTGAGGCAGGAAGTGTGCTTGTCGGGTGAAAGCCCAGGGTTCAGTTCCCATCTCTGCTGCCCACTCTCCATCTGACTTGGACAAGGCGTTGTTACGGTCATTAAGTACCTGAAGAGAGGCTCCCAGGGGAATTTACAGAGCGCCGAGGCACCTGCTGCCCAACGCGAATGGCAAGGGGAGTCAGACGGGCGATGCATCTTAGAGCCCCTCAACACCTGTGAACGTCTGTCCCTCCCTCAAACAGGGAGTAACAACCCTCCCTTCCTCTGTCTTGTCTACGTCTCCGAGATGGGGACTCTCCCTCCCTAGGCATGTACGCAGCAAGTGGCACGCCCGGGCTTACAGGAATACAGCCATGCATTACCCACACAGCTCAGATCACTCGAGAAAACAGTTCATTTCCCAGCTTCAGTGTACACCTCAACTTAAAACCTCACACAAGTGTGGGCAGGTGCGTTAGGTGCCAACTTCGCAGTGTCTCAGGCGCAAATCTGACCTTGTAGGAAAAGGGCTCTGCGTGGGGCTGCACAGACACAGCTGGTGTTGCCAGCAGAAGCTGCTGGAGCTGCAGGTCTGGGCCGTTTCCCCCCTCCATTTTGGTTCATTTGCGCATCTCCTCTTCCGCTGCCTTCGCAACCACGACTGCTTCTTAGAGAAGAGACTCGGACACAGCTGCCCCTTGGCCCATCACTTTGCACCACCTCTTCCTTTCCATCTTGCCATGCCTGGGCAAAGGAACAGCCGGTCAGCAGAGGCTGGTCATCCTCTGGGCAGCTGAGCAGAAGCGGGCTCCTCACTCCTCGCAGGAAAGGGGTGCCTCACTCCAGACGAGGCATGGATTCACCCTCATTTCCAGTGAGTCA